TCTTTCCCTTACCTGGACATTGCTGTCTCCTTAACAGCTGAGCTGTCACTGGGAAGTGAAATTGGTTACAATTTTTTTTATACCACAGCTGTTTTTTTTTTTTTTTTTTTTTTTTTTACCTCAGCTGGTTCCCATAATTCCACAGATGGTAAACATATGTTTAGAGGCACATAGAAAAGGATTCCTCCCATCTCTAATTCTTATTTTTCCTTTCATGCAGAAAGTCAAAGTCACAGAGCTGGGGAATCTTATACATTTGTAGATTAATATTTCTGTGCATTAAGACTTTGGAAACAGCAGGATGGCTAATGATATGCTTATGAGCTGACAGTTTTTATTGATCGTAATGGAAGTCGACAAGTGTCTTTCTTGGCTTATGCAAGCTGGAATATTTTATTAACTGTCTTCAGGGCAGAAATCCATAATTGGTTGCATTTTGAAAAAACTCCTTGTGAGTTTCTCAAGTCTTTTTGTCAGCCTGTTGCTAAAGCTTGGGTCCTTGCCAGTTTATAAACAGAACACATCTTCATCCATATATTTACATGCCCAGCAGGAACTTTCCCCACCCCCTTTCCCTTTCAAAGCAATTTGTTTCAGTGTTTTAGCATACAAAAAGAGAGAACCATTTTCTTCAATGTAAACAGAGATCTGCTGGGAAATAAGAGCTTTAAAAATGAATTAGCATTTGTTGGTTGGCAAAGCTGCTTTTATTTGTATGAGAAAGCTCTGAATGTTAGAAGGGCTTGCCTAATCTTAGTTATTCCATACATAAGAGGGTCCTAATGGTATGATTTTTCTAATCTTTATTACATCTTTGTGTATTTCTTACTGTGGAACAAGAAAGGTTCTTGGAACAATGGAAATAACGGGCATTAGTTCCCCAAACAAATACTCATAATGTACGACCTACCTGGTGCACATCTATTTCGCAGTGCTTGCTGAGCTCAGTGCAGGTTACAGGTGGATTCAACAAAGGAAAAAATGTACCCATCCCGCACCGCCCCCCGTACTAATAGTAAAAGTTTATTGATTTGGGCTTTGCACTTTAGGGATTTATTTAGATTCTCAGCTTGGCTGAGGGTTAGCATTGCAGGAACGATGAGAAAACGGATTGTTCAGCAGATTAATAGTGTAAATAAGATTGCAGGGGAGAATATTAAGCTACCTAAAAGGATCTCTTGTTTGCCAGCGCTAAAACACTATTTCAGCGAATTGTTAGTATCTAATGTAGATAATTTATGTTGGGTTGATTAAGTATCTATCTGTTAAAGCAATAAAGATAGAACCTCATTTTGACCACAGGACCTTGTTCTAGCAACATCTTGTTAGATGTTGTAACTCATGTAACGATGAGACTTTCTCAAATGATCTATTTTCTCCTTAAACCATGTTGGAGTAGCTTAGTGCTGGTTTTGGAGTTAGTAGACCTGTAGTTAATGGTCTAAGATTAAGGTGTCCTTTTGGAAAGCTACTTAAGTTGCCAAAGACTTAGGTTTTTTGTAGGTCAAATGACTGGTGGTCTGGCCTGGATCAGTAGCTCTCGTTGTGTGTATCAAAATCACCTTGGAAGCTTTTTCAAAGCTTTCATATATCTGTTCTCCCCAACCTCCTCTAAAATTGTAATGTGTACCCCTACTTTAAAAACTGATATCCTACACGATATTTACAGACTCTACCAGCTCTGAAAATGATACTGCTCAATTTTCTATAATTAAGAGTTTTTAGGAATTTCATGCTTTTCAAGTATTTATTGTGCCTGCTATGTGAAATATACTACAATAGAAGCTGCAGGGGACACTGAGATGAAAATAGGACTTTGACTTCATGGTGTCTATAATCTAGTAATTCTGTTGGTTGCAACTCAGCTCCAAATCACTGAGATTTTATTTCTATATTAGGATTTAGATGATGCTGTTTTCACCACTGTGAACTTTTAATGAGTAAAGCCTCCTGTTCCTCCCCCTCCCCCAAAAGAAAATCCACAAATGATGACAAGAGAGCAGGGTTTTTTAAAAGTGGGACTCTTTGACTTTTCATCAGAATCCTCTTGTTTAGCTTTTAATGAAGTTTCCTGGGCCCACTCAACCTTCCTGAAACAGAATTTGACGGATGACCCAGGAATCTGAATGTTACATTCAAGGGTTTTACTCCAACTCGAGGTGTTTACTCAAGGTGATTCCTAAGAAACTCAAAGTTTGGGAAGCATTGCCATGATTAATGATGAGAAATACAGCATGGGTCTGAAAAAAATGAGGTCAGGCAAGGCTGGCTAATAAATGCCCTGCAGGAGTTGCATTTTTCAGGTAAGTGTAGATACATTTAAAGTTAAATAAGAACAAGTAGAAATTCTTGTTAGTCTAATTTCATCTTTGGGAGAAGTTGCTAGGGCTTGAAGGAACATTATCATCAGTAGAAATTGTCCTAGATGACTTTGCTGGGAGAAATAAGAGTGAGCTTCTATATAGGTTTATACTTTAGAATAAACGCCTTTCATTTTCTAAAGAAAACTACATGCATAGCAAATGTTGCTTTTGACAAAGGTCCGGGTACAGAAGAGTTCATATGGCAATTCAATGCAAAACCTTCTGGTTCCTGTTCTGGGGAAGGTGCTAGGATATATACGCATTTGTGTGTGTATGTAAATTTATATATATGTATATATATATATATATATATATTTACACACATACTCAGACTTCTTTGGGTTACAGCTGGTATTGTACAGTGTATGGCCATCCTTTTAGTCCAACACGGAATTACATCCGTTCAAATAAATTACATCACCATCTTGATTTATTTGGCAAGAACAGTATGTGGGCTGACCCCCATGACCTTTCCTCAGAAACAAATACCAAGTTTTGAGTTGAGTTTTGGTGTTAATGGGCATTGAGAAGCTGTCAGCTCTTATTTCTGTTTGTGTTCAAGTCAACATCATTGAACTTCACCTAATGATCTGTGTAACACCCCTGTGTGGCTCAGATTAAAAGTAGAAAGGCAGAAGTGATGATGGGGGCAGGTGGAAGGGAAGTGTCGGAGAGGCAATTTGTAATTTACAATGTAACTAAAAATCAGTAGTCACCTTTAAAAATAGGAAAAGGAAAGCCGATATGTACTAAATTATGTTGCTACTGAGTGAATAGAAGGGATATCCTTTTCAAAAGGATTTTCCATTCATTTTTAGAAAGGTAGTCAATACTGTGACTAGTGTTCTCTGGGTTTGAGTACCATTTCCATGACTGATTAAAAATAAGAATGATTTAGGCTTTTCTGATGAACAGGTAATAGATAGACCTGATTTTTCCTGGTATCTCTGCTTTTTCCACTTGCACATCTCCTAGGGTGATTAGCTGACCCTGTGTGCCTGTGAGCCTGTTTTAGCACTGGAAGTCCCAGGTCCTGGGAAACTCTAAATCCTGAGCAGACCTGGGATAGTTGGTTACTATGAATTCACCCATATTCAATCTATACAGATCAGACAGATGTTTTCTGATGTGTCTCTCCATTCTCTATAATGGTCTTTGATGGAAACCTACGGCTTTGTCTAATTTTTTGTTTAACTTGAAAGGTAGAGCACAGAAATCTAACTTGTGACAGTCTTGGTTTGAATGCCTGTTTTGCTGACCCAGAACTTGAGTGCTGGAAGGATCTTTAGCTTTTGCATCCAGCCTTTTTTCCAGAGGAAGCAACTGAAGCTCGGAGAAGATGGTTGGCTGACTGTTTCAAGTTCACTCAGTTAGCTTGAGATGGATTCAGACCTTGAGCCCAGATCTCCTGACTTTCAATCCCATGTTTTTCTCATATTTCTCAAATGTGCTTGAAAGGTGCCCTGGGCACTCAGAGGCATGAACTTGCTTTGAGAAACTGAGCAGCTTTGTGCCAGGGAGAAGCTGATTGACTTAGATGGTGCTCCATTAATTGCTCTCTGGAATTGCCCTACAAAAGACTATGAATTCATATTGAGGAGCAGTGGTAGGGGCTTCCCCCCCATGGAGATGCTTTCTCCTCTTAAATTCACAAATACTGCATCATTCTCAAAGAGGAAGAAGTTAATAAATGTATCCAATTCTGAGAAAGAGGTCCTATGATCCCATTATTTCTATTAACCTTTCCAATTCATATTTCATTTTGAAATAAAACAGAAAACAGCATTTGTTGATTACCTTCTTTTTAGAAGATGAGCACATAAATGTTATCTCCTCTGGAAGACTTGCAGCATGATCTTAGGCCTATATTTTATTTACAGATTAAGCTCAATATTCTGAACTGGCTTCCGCATCTTTCATCTGTTTTGTAATATCTCTTCTGTCAAATCAAGAGAAAAAAAATCCCTAAAACCAAAACCTTGATATTCAAGTTAAAAAATGCAAAAGCCAAGTCAATATTGTCATTGCAAGATGGCAGTTTCAATGACTTCCTTAGGTCAGGGCTGTTCTTCCAGACTAAGTTACAGAATGAAAAAGACCCCCTTTTACTCACAGTGAGATGTTGAGCAAGTTTTAAGACTCACCAATAAACACTCATGTTACTCAGCAGAGAGCAAAGATTGTATGCAATTCTCTCCATGTCTCATTTTATTTCCTCTACTCAAACTTTAATATATTTGTATTCTCTTCTCTCTCGCTTAAAAAAATCACCTAAGTCCGTAAAATTTACTGTTACAGGATGACTAAGGCATTGAGGAAATTTTTGTTTCATCAGTGCCTTTTTGGTTCAGTAGTTGAAAAACATTTACTGGTAGATCCTTCCTGTTACAATGTCATTTGTCAATGTCATCCACTAGTGGTATCTAATGATAGCTTTCTCAAGATGAATGTACTTTTCAAGATTTCTGCAGGAGGATGGTTTGGAGTAGTTCTCTGGGGACTCAGGCAAACTTATGTTTTGAGAGAGGATACCAGTGTTTAAAAAAAAAAATGCCCTGCACAGAGATGTGACTGCACAGGGGCCATTGGAACCAGTGACTATAATCTTGATCACCACCTCTCTCTTCTGTTATCAAGGGAATCATCCAAGATGGGAAAATCATCCTTATGCCAAATGGATACATAACTCAATGTCCGAATCTGAATCGCAGTAAGTAGCAATTTGAAGCGTTTATAAATTTCTATTACTATGTAACTTATTGGTAATAAACATGTTGCCGGAAGCATAAAAACTGTTGACTTCTGAGGTAGTGGGGATAGGGAGATAATTATCTATACTATATACTCCTGTGTCTTTGAATTTTTAAAAAGCTTATGTGTTTATAGAATTACCACTGGAAGGTAAGAAAGAGACTACATTAAAAGTTTGGGTTCTGTAGATTGATTCAGGAAGATAGGTTTAATATGGTAGTATAAATCGTAAACATTTATTTAAATTGCTTGGCTTAGATGTGTGTTGAGTTTCTCCTCTTCTATATAACGATTCACAGTTTTCCAGTTACCTCTCAATTAAGACAAGGGGTTTAATTTTAATTTAAAAAAATGTCCTATTGCCTTTTCAGTTAATAGTCCCTTTTCCCTGTTCCTTTCTTTCCTCCTATTAATCAAAGGAAAAGACCAAGACTTGAAATCCTGGGTGATTTCACTCCAATTGTAAAGTAATACTTAGCCAGAAAAGCAAAAACCCTTCAACATAGCCAAGCAACTACTGTTGTAAGAATTTCTTTATTGTTTTAGCACTGTATCAACATTTCTTATATTTTCTCCATTGAGCTTGTCCAACTTGCAGTGATTTCTTAAGCCTGGTGCAAGGAATAATGGATTTGCAAGAGCTTTTGGCCAAGATGACTGCAAAAGTAGGTATCTAAATTTCTCTTGTGATGTTTCATGTCTTTCTCCATCCTATCTGGAATTTCAAGCGATAGGCTATAATGGAAACATTTTTTAGCCTTGCTATCTGCAATATGTTATTAAAAAAATGGTTTACTCTTACTTGAAATAGGACTACCTATAGTAAACATAACCATTTACCTCTTTGATGCTATTAGGCTATATCAAAATGTTTACTTGAAGAATGCTTGGAAGAAAGAGGCCATATATATCACTGTAGATTCCCTGGGAGAGGAAAAGGAATTTGCCTGCTGGCCATTCAACTAGTAACACTGTGAGATGATACATGGTCAGAGGCACTGCTGCTTATAAGCTAATGCGTTTTGAGTGTGAGAATTATTGCCGATAATCAGAAGGGGCCAAATAGCCATTGTTAGGAACAGATTGCTGTCGCAAGAAGGGATTATATCACTTTTCTAAGATGTGATTCATTTCAGGACTGGTCTTGAGTTAAATAGTAGAGGAAGCAAAGTTTCTCTTTTAACACATTCAGTTTTATAGTTGTACATCTTTTCCTTCTCTCCATCATCCGATTAACAAGCATCTTTCGAGGATCTGCCATTTGTCAGGCGCTGTGTCAGACACAAAGGAGTCGCTAATGAACAAGACATGATTGCTGCTCCAGAAGATAGCTGAAAATGTGGACAATTAGGGGCTTTAATATGTGAAGTTTAGATTCATAATGAAAAGCCCTGAGCCCTGTGTTGAAAGGCACTGAATAAAGAGAAAATGTGTCTAATGCTGTTGTTATGATACCAATCAGTTGTGGATGTGAGTCCCAGCCTAGGGCGAAGAAAGAATTAGGTTGGGCCTAAGAGACATTATACTCTGTGAAGGGAAGAATTTTAATAACAGTGAAAATGATACATTAATCCTATTCCCACCTATGGCTATGACTGCTCCCAGCCATCAGCCATGGCACGTGGAAAAAAAAAATTGGTGGGTAGGTAAGTGTTTGGGAGGCAGGGCTGTGTTTTGGACCCATCGGTTGTGCTACCGAAGGTAAGGTTTCTCTTTCAAACTAGGTTTTTGGCCAAGTTGTCTTTTGTCTGGAAAGGAGAGACAGAACACTTTTGTTAGAAACCCTGAGACATGAGAGCTGAAGCATTAGCTTTTCAGTTCAGAGTACAGTGGAAATGTGAAATGCAGCCAATTATTTGCCTTCCCGGCTTGTGGCATATAGAGACTTTTTTTTTTTTTAATTTCGTCTGCCGCAGCTTGATCTCAATAGTGTTAATTATATTTTAGCTTGCTACCAAATTTTTGGAACGAGAAACATGCCTTAGTGTCAGGTGATTGTGGTTCCCCAGCTTTAAGGATGCTCCTTTCTTGTTCTTTCCTTCTGCAGAGAATGTCATTTTTCTCCTTTTAGCCATACATTATCTAGGAGCCACATTGAGTTCTGTCCTCCAAACATTATTATGTAAAATGGGCATTTGTGAGGCAGTAGATGTCTAATTGTGGGCAATTGCAAGCAGAAAATGGTTTCATCCACCTTCTAAACCCCGCCTCTGGTGCTTTGGAAGATTTATAAGTCTGTTTCTTCCAAACCGTGAATAGAATTATAATTAGAAAACTGAGAACTTCCATTTTCACTGCAAAATTTTGAAATCTACAATAATCTAGAAAAGGAGCGTTGGTAAACTTTTTCTGGAAAGGATTAGCTAGTTAATTTTAGGCTCTGCAGGCCAAGAGGCAAAATAGAAAATATGTACATATTTATTTAATCACTTAAAATATAACCCTTGAAAAATGTAAAAATCTTTCTTAGCTGATAGGCTGGAGGAAAATGAGTGGGTGGCCAGATTTGGTCCATGGGCCCTAATTTAGAAAAAGCTGGAAAGTCAGTCATAGGCGGTAATATTGAGTATTTGCTGTGTGTTAGTTACAATGCTTAAATGTTTTGTATTTCTTATCACTTTAATCCTCACAACAGTCCTGTGAGTTGGGGTTGATTTATTAGCCTGCTTCCCAGATGAGAAGACTCAGTTCCAGGAATGTTATGTTAACTTTTCCCAAGACAATGGATGGCAGAGCTGGGACTCAGGCTCAGATTCTGAAAGCTGCATCATGACTAAGAATGTCTGTAGTTGGAGAAGGGAGGATTGGAAAGAGAAACAAAAGATGTAAAGAAGGAATGACTGATGGAGAGAGGCAGGTTGGCCGCTACAAGCGTGGGGATAGAGAGATTGGTAAGAACAATGGGCAAAATGGAAGAGAGGAATGTGTGTTCTGATGGTACCTGTTGGGATTGAAACATGAGCGTAGAGCTTGTAGTGGCTTTTGGAGGGGGAAAAGTCAGGGCAAGAACAAAGCTCCTAAACTTACCCTTTTGGTTATAGTCCATTGTTATCCTTGGAAATCTGTTGATGTTGAGGCCTGGGTTCCCATGCTCTGTGTTTCTGGCAGGACCACGCAGGGCTATCTTCTGTTCCATGATTCCCTTAAAGGTTTCCCGATCTTAGAGGCTGCTCAGAATCACACTGCAAACCTAGGATAGACCAGGTGAATTCTCAGCCAAGAGTTCTTTAAGAATTCTCAAAGAAGATATTTCCCTCTTGCCTGTGCCAAGGTCTGAACAGGAAGGTCTTTTTCTGTGCTTTGTGCAATCCTTGTTTACTTTATGTGTACTCTCAAACTGAGGATACAGGCCTTTGGGTCCACATCTTTATGTAGGAGTTCTCTTTAAGACCTCCCAACATGGGCAGACCCTGCTCCCTAACTTCTCTCCCCTGCACAGCCATCAGAGTGGGAGCTTGGAGGCTCATTGACCTTTTCCCAGTTGCTGTTTCCCCATATTTAAAAGGGTGACAATTAGTTGTGGTTTTATGAAGATCCCATGAGACCAGGCAAGTGAGACTTAAAGGTCTGGTTTGGTGGATGGCACACAATAGGTACTCAATAAGCTGTAGTTGTTCATTTTATGTTGTTAAACCTAGAAAAAAAATAGGCAGCCATGGGGGGGAAGATGGACACCTTGCCTAGTGGCTTGGCATCACAAAGCCTGGCAATAGCCTTGAGTTGCTATCAGGTCCCTGGTCTTAGATTGAGGTGCCAGGAGGTCTTGGAAAGCAGCAGAATGTCCTTACATGGTGTCCTAGTGGAAAGCCATGGAATCCTACCAGAGAGCAAGCCCAGTGCACAAGCTGGACAGGAGTTGGTAGCCATAATCACATCAAACAGCTACGACACCAGATGAGCCCAGGGGCCTGCCCAGGAGGGCTTGCTGTTTCTTTTCTCTCTTCAGGACAGGGGATGCTGGAGAATGACTATGCCCTTGCTGAAGACAGGACATATCATGGGAGCAGTTTGTATGTATCTTCAGGTGACAGGTCCGGGTGTATAAGAGCCCTCTTTGAAGAATCCTGGCATTCTGGCAAAATGAACCTTTTTCAAGGTAGAGGAGGTACAGGGAAGGAGGGAAGGTGTCTTCTGTCACCTTCCCTAAGCCATCTACAAGTGACCATGGATCCCTGGTTTACTCTGGAAGTTCTCTCAGGTGGTCTTGACATTGTGGGAACAATCCCATTGCTGGCCAGGTACATTGTGATGGGGTTGGGACCTGTCTTGCTCTTGTGTCCCACCTGTCCTGTCATTGCATTCTGCCTTCAAGCTCAGGAAGAAGAGATGCTGGACTGGGAATTTGATTACTTCTATTCAAATCTTTGACAAATCTATTTATGCAAATCAAGCAGCATTTGGAGCGGCATTTCAGCTTGTAACGTATTTAATTTTGAGACTTTCAGTGTTGCAAGCTCAATAGTGATTTTTCCAGTTAAGCTTAAAGGTTTAACACAATAAAATATTTTTTTCCCTTCAATGTAGCAAATGCCAAATAAATAGTATTTCAAAGAAAGAAAAGGGCACCCCATTGCACGACTAATGTACTCATCCATTTGTTGACCTCTTACTGTGAAAAAGGCCTCTGATGTCTGTCTTCGAATGTGTAGAGTTAAGAATAAATGACTCTGTCCATGGTTGCTTAGATAAATGCATGAACAAAGGTAAGAATAGAGATGTAGACTTGCTACTGGATCTATTTTGGATCTGTAGGCATTCTTGGAGGGAATGGCAGGTGGTGTAGAAATAGCTTTTGAAAATGAATTTGGGTAAAATCAGCATGCTAATACCAATGAAAACTTGTAATTCATTTTTTGGTTCAGAGTTGTTTTTCTCCTTTTATTCTGGTATTTAGCAGGGGATGAAAAGGAAGGTATAGTTACATGTTAAGTGTCTTTGAAAAATTAGCTTTTTGCCTTAATATGTCTTTGCTTTTGTGTCTGTCTAATGTGCTCTTATTACAGAGATTAGGGCTTTTCAGTGTTGTCAGAAAAGGCTAAATATATTAAAAAATAGGAAACATCTGTCCTGAGAATAGCTTTCATTAAAACCGAGGTTTTCTTGGTATTGAGTTTTGCAGGTAGCTCAGTTTTGTTGGACAGTATGGGAAATTGACAATACTGCTTTTAGGCAAATTCCTGGGTTTTCAGGAAACTTGGGCAGTCACAGAATTGCCTTTTGGGTCATTTAGTCTTTAAGAAGTTTCTGGGAGTGGTACGGGCAGTAGATCATTCCAGATTTTCAGAGTGAGGTTCATTTCTTCTCACAAATACACTGTTCTCAGCCACTTTTAGGAGGGATGTAGATCTAGTTGAACTCTTTTTCAACCCCGGGTCATCCATCAATCACTAGCCTTCTGTAGGAACTACAGGGGCTGTAGACATGAGGTTAAGGTAATATGCAATCAGTTGTTGCTTCTTGCTACCTCTTACCTGTATGTGGTTTTACTCACTTGACCTCACTAAATTCTAAGAAGTGTATTTAATGTGTTCCCTAAAGAATTTCCAAAGAAATTAATTAGCATGGATTCTAGAAACTAATTAAGCTAGAGCTTTACATGGATCTGAATTTTTGGAAGATTGTGCATATGGGATGGGTCCTAGGAAGCTAATATTTTAGGCATAGTTAACTCCACATTTTCTGGGGGCTGACGATGGTACATGTGGTTTGTCTAGCATCCTATTTGATTTTTTATCTGCCCATTGGTACTGCCCACAAAAGGCAGATAGGGAACTATTTTTCTTGAGAGATTCTAAACTTTGGGAGGAAGAGAATGAAATAAATGACAAAAGCCAAGTTTGGAATTGCATGTGGATTCCATTTTTAGAGAATGGTGCTCAGCAGTGCTGGTAGGAGTAATTGAGAGGAACATGTAAGGAATGGAACCATAGTTAGCATAGAAAGATTTTGGGAGTCCTCAACCTATATTCAACCATTATATCTAAAATATTGGCTTGAAATAGTCTTACTTGGATCAGGGATGGGCTTGATCTATGTGGGGAAAATACTGAAGACACAGAGGTAGAAGTGTGGTCGAGAAAAAATAGCAACTACTTGGACTTTTAGAAAGTAGTATTTGTTTTTCAATCAAGGCAGTCTCTAAAGAAAAGGGGAAAATGGTAATATTGCTATTGGATTGAATTACACTTGAGTGTGTGTGAGATTCTATCAGAGTTGAATATTTTTTGCACCATATGTTTGAAGGCAACTGCAGTAGCTGCATGGAAAGTGATCAGGAGAGAGGATTGGACTCCTATCATGATGACCTATTCAGTGAACCTGGTGGTGCTGAGTATGGTCAAGAGCAGATGTGAAGATGGGCTAACCTCAGATGTTGGAAGAGAGTTGATTGCTTAGGATGGATTACCAGGCAAAACTAGGTCTGATAGGAAAAGCAGGGAGAGATTTCACAGTTCACACCAAGAAAGGGGTTTCAAACATCCAGAGCTAACCAAAAAAAGTTTTTAAAGGTAGCGTCCTGCCGCTGTAGACAGGCAAAAAAAGGCTGGTAAATCACTATAAGGGGGTTACTTGTCATGACATTCAAACTTTATAACCCTTTTCAAGTCAGAGACTCTGAGGTTCTGTGATAACCGATAATAGCTGGAGGACCTAGGAAAATGAAACAAATTTCTCTCTCAAATCCTGATCTCACCTAGGGGTTTGGTGAGATCTTACCTTTGAACACCAAAGTGGATGCCTGGGGCATTCATTCTGGGGGATCCTGAGCAGGGGAGAAACTAGATCCTTGTATGCATTTCCCTTTTCCTGGCCCCAGCTCCCAGGAATTTTTCAGAAGGGAGGAAGCCGTGACTTCCCAGCCTGAAAACCGTGGTGCTCGGGTTAGCGTGCGAACACGGAGAGAACGGTGGGAGGTAAATGTGAGTGCATCGGAGTTGCTGATGAGGTCTCCTGTAAACATTGTAATGAGTCCTTGAGAACACATTCATTATGAGTGTTTCTGTGTGGGCTTGAGCTGGAAGCACACATGTTTATGTACACCCATGAGGTCCCTGAGATACAGTTTAATGTCTCATTTGGTGCTCATTAGACCATAGGAGCCAATATGTCTTCAGTATAGAATGATTCCACCTCATGGTGTTTTTTTTTTTTTTAAATAATCTGGCTAAGAATAAGTCAGCTCCTCTGAGCATTTTTTTCCTCCTCCTCCTTGGATTTTTTTTTTTTCCTTCTTGTTGCTATTAGCTTTGTTAGGACAATGCAACTGAATGAAAGTAATTACACCTAGTAACTCTTATTTGCAGTTAAATTATGCAGAGACGAGACTTAGTCAGTTGGAAAACTGTCACTGTGAGAAGACCTGTCAAGTGAGTGGACTTCTCTATAGAGATCAAGACTCCTGGGTTGACGGGGATCACTGCCGGAACTGTACTTGCAAAGTAAGCCTCTTTGTATTTTTTTTTTTAAAGATTTTATTTATTTGACAGAGAGAGAAACAGTGAGAGAGGGAACACAAGCAGAGGGAGTGGGAGAGGGAGAAGCAGGCTTCCGTGGAGCGGGGAGCCTGATGTGGGGCTCGATCCCATGTCCCTGGGATCATGACCTGAGCCGAAGGCAGACGCCCAATGACTGAGCCACCCAGGTGCCCCAGCCTCTTTGTAAATAAAAAGAGTTGTAAGGGGGCATTTTCACTACTTACTGTATAATCTGGACTTGCAATATACAATGCTGGCTCTAGGAAGTCCATATGATCCTTTTACTAAACTTATGCCTAGCAACCTGAGCAATTGTGAGGGGAACCTGGAAGAGTGTCATTTCATCTCTAAATACTTGGAAATTAAAATCTGCTTCTATTTGATAGCACACTCTAATAGGACCTAACCTTGTTACTAACAAATTTACTGTGTGGAGTTTGAGGATTGAGAGTATCAGAGGGAAGAAGGGACTCCTGGGACTTTTCAAGCAACCTAACGGTTAGCTTCATTCACAACTTCTCACTGCTAGAATACATTTTAAAAGTGGGTATAATTAATTAGTTTCTAGATGTTTTTATTACAATTTACAAGGTATCTGTCATCTGTTTCAGAGACTTGCAAGACCTACCTCCACACACCCCCCCCGACTTCCAGGGTATCCATCATTTGTATACTCCATCTGTTTCAGAGAATTCAAGAGCACCCCCCAAATTAGTATGTGAACTCTGTGCTGTGCAGTTGAAATTATTTGATAAATATCTGAAGAATGCCTTTGTTTGGGGAAAATACAAAATGGATTGTTAGAGCCTCAATGATGATTGGCATGGTCTGCAAAATGTGTTATTTATGGTCTTGTAAAAATAGGCTTTTGTTTTCTGCCTAATCTCCTTAGCCCACATGGGCAGGTGGAATGAAGCCAGTGATGTATATCAGAAAAGTAATTGAGGTGGCACAGGTTCATCTGGGCTGGAGAAAATAGTTCATGTGTGATCCTGGAGTAGACTGGGAAGTCCTCACACTGCATCTGTTTCCCCGATGAGGTTTCTGAGATGAGTTGTGTGCTTTTGCCACAAAGAGAAATTTCAAAGGGCACTTCTGAGATTCTTTTCCCTGTCCTTCCTTCCTCAGAGTGGGGCCGTCGAATGTCGAAGGATGTCCTGTGCCCCTCTCAATTGCTCCCCAGACTCCCTCCCTGTGCACATTGCTGGCCAGTGCTGTAAGGTCTGCCGACGTAAGTACTGACGGAGGGTCAGAGTGGTCCTCTCTGCTTTGAGATCCACCTCCCCGATGAATATTGAAGACATGAAGTACCAGAAGTTGATATTAAATGTATGACAAGAAGAACTTCTATATTTTAATCACCTGTGATGTGCAGATACTTTACATAAGCTATTTATAAAAAAAGTCTCATATCAACTCTAATTACTATTCTTCCCGTTCTCTGTAGAAGGAGCTGGTGTTCACAGGGATTAACTACTTGTCTAGAGTCAAACACCTGGTGTAATTGGTTGTGTTTATCTGTGAGGTCACAACTCCAAAGCTCCGTGTGCTTTGGTCCCTCTCCTTCTGAATGATGAAGTTTAAGACCCAGATTCTGTATTTAGGCTTGCTGAGGTCTTGGCCAGATTTCCTGTTACTAAAAGGCCTTTGTTAGGAATTTTGAGATAAGCCTCAGTTAAGATACTGACATAACTGCCTTCAGAGTTGGCCTGTCCAAGCTACAGGATTTAAATATTCTTACTCTGTTTTGCAAAGGGCACCATTTCAGATGAGATAGTGAAATGAGCCCGGAGATCAGCCATAAAAGTAAAAAGCTGTCCTTAAGAATGCTTGGTATGTGCCAGTTACTATGTAGGGGCTCCACTTCTGTTCGCTTACTGACTGCTCACTGCAGTCCTTCGGGTGGGTATTACTACCCCTGTTTTACAGGAAGCTTAGGGAAGTTAACTTACCAAGGTCGCAACCTTAGTGAGTGACCGTGGTGAGGTAGGAAATAGGGCTGCCTGACAACAAAGCCCATCGACTTTTTTTTCAAACTATAGGGTCTTCTGTAGCAAGAGTCTAGGTTAGAGACAGGTCATCATTCAAGGTCCTTTCTCTACTAAAAATATCAACATCACTGGGTCTTCGAAACACAGTGGTTTAGCTTTTTGCCAAAAACAGCCTTTCTCCTAATAGGACAGTGGAGGTGGCCATAGCTGGTCTGGTCACACCAGCCCAGACCTTTCTTGCACTTTTTTGAAAGGGACTTCGGAATATTTTTCCTTCTTAGGGTTGGCACAGTACACCTATTTCTCTGGAGGGTGGTACTTGGAGTTGATCTAAAAAGAGAAACTGTACAAACTTGATGTTCTATCTAACAGTGAAGAGAGGAGGAAAAACTACTGGGAATTTGTTTAAAAAATGAGTTACTTTTAGTCCATTATTTTGGGTTTTCTGGACAGGTCTGTCTCTCGGAAGTTGTTTGGACGTGGGACTAGATGAGTCTTTTGCTGTTTTGTGTTTTAATCTTTTGATTTTCTAATTATAAAAGCAATCTGTTTATTGTGTAACATTTGAACTCAGGAGTTAAGATGATGGAAAAATCTCTCCCAATACCACCACTTGGAAACAATCACTCTTGAAATTTCAGTGGATTTCATTTTTTTAAATTTTATTTTGTGTGAAGTATTATCTGTACACTTATCTATTTTCTGTGAATATTATCTGCACACTTATTGTGCAGATATTTATCCTACTTCATTCCCTTCCACACACACACACACACACACACACACACACACACTCACACACTCACTCACTCACTCTGTGGCCAACATGGGGCTTGAACTCATGACCCTGAGTTTGAGTCTCTTGCTCTACCAACTGAGCCAGTCAGGCGCCCTGCCCCCCGCCCCCCCACATTGACTTATGGTCACTTAAGTGTATTCCTGTGCTTTAAAGAACACTGTATAAACTTTTTTGAAAAATTTATTTAAATTCAATTAATTAACACATAGTGTAGTATTGGTTTCAGAGGTAGAGTTCAGTGATTCATCAGTCTTCTAGAACACCCAGAGCTCACTGCATCGTGTGTCCTCTTTAAGTCCACCACCCAGTTGTATAAGTTTCATTTTAATGAGCTTCATGGTGTTCCATTGTTTGGCTCTTGCTTGCATAACTTATTTAACCACCCCAATTTTCCCACTTTTCACTAGTATAAATTACTCTTCAATAACATGCTTTATGTAGAAAATGCATTTTGTATTTTATATTTTGTTAAGATACAGTTCTCCAGAGTAGAATCAGTGGGCTAAATCACTGCCATTTCAAGGCTCTTGATGTATGTCACATTGTCCCCTCAGTAGAAGTGTTGGGGGTAGTCACTTCCAATTCATTTGAAAGTTTTAAGTTTTGAAAAATATTTTAGAAAGTTACACGATTTTACCAACATGCTGATAACTAAAACATCAGTGTGTGTGTGTGTGTGTGTGTGTGTGTGTGTGTGTGTGTGTGTGTGTGTGTGTTTGCTTTTGTTTGGAATTTATAGCAATTTAGGTGGTACTAATTTTCTCAACAGCTCCGATTGGTGGTTTGATATGTTTGTAGTTAAACAAGATGATAATGAAAATAAATGAACACTAGTTAAAAAAAAAAAAAGTAAACCAAAGAGAAATGATGTAAAGCACCTCTGGAAGTTTCAAAGGTTATGAAGCTCTGGCTTAGAGGGTTTTCATTTCTTCATAATTTTTAACAGAAATATGCATTAGGCAGTTACTGAGTGCTGGTTCCTGGAATGGTGATAAATGGGCCCTCTCTGATTCAGAGGGCTCACTTTCAAGTTGGGTGATTTACAGTGTCTAGAATTCTCAGTGCAGTCACATTAGGCACATGGATAAGGCACTATCAGAATGTAGACAGATGGCTTGTGGGACAGTGCTGGGGAGAAGAAGGGGATATCGGTAGTAGGCCTGGGGTGCTCCCTGGAGGAAGTGGAGCCAAACTAAACATTTCTAGCCTTCTGGAAGATGACTGTGGTGGGTTGAACAGTGGAGTGGAGCAGAGGAGAACCAGGATCAATAAAGTAGAGTTCCAACACTAGTAGGTAGAATTTCTAGAAGTTTCAAATACCTTCATATTAGAAAAAGGTTGGAGAATTGACTTCGGTTGTCCTTTTCAGATAAAATTTCCTAAGCTTCTCTTTGGGTTTGGGTGGACCAGTGTTCTGGAAACTCTCAGAAAAGGTATTGATCTGGATCAGGCAAAAGGAGCTGATGCATAAAAGCAAATGGTTTTGTCAGCTGACTTACTAAGTGTTGATGCACTTGTCATGGCCTCAGGAGCTGCAGCACTTAAAGATGGGGGCATTTGTTTGGAAAGAGGAAAAAGAATTTGGTCTAAGTGTTCATGTCTTAGTTCATTCCTTGGGAAAAGTGCTTTGTCCTTCTGTTTTGATCAAAAGGCCCAGACACTCATGCGGTCTCCAAGAACAAGGTAGCTTTCATTGTGGAGGTCTCAGATCCTGATACTACGAAGTTCTTCTCTCTGTTTTGGAGGCATCGGGAGAAACTCTGGAGAGCCTTCTAGATTCATCAGTTGTGGACATGATGGTCCAGGAGTTTATTACCAGGGCCCCGCTTTGACCTACTAAGTCAGAATCTCTGAACATTGGTGCCCTGCAGGCTATTCTTTCAGGAGACAGACTTGAGAACTACCGCAGAGGGTGGGGAGTGAAGAGAGAGGTTGATGGAGAGGGAATCTCCAGCTATGCAAAAGAGCACTTGCAAAGGAAAAGAGGGGGTAGAGGGAAAGGAAATACTTTGATAACAGGGTTTCAGTAGGCGAGAAGTAGAAATCTGCAAAGGTGCGTGTGGGATGCGTGAGGACAATCGTATTCCTTTGAATTGATGCAGTGGTTCATATTCAGGTTCCTCTCCCAGTGCTGTCCTTCCCTCTGGGTACAACAGTGTGCATGTGTGGATCATTTGCTCTATGTCAGGCACCATGTTGAGCCCTTCTAGTGACCCAAACGCGGTCCCCACTGTTAGCCCCATTTTGTGGGTGAGGACCCACAAGAGCACAGAGACGTAACTTTCCCAAGGTCTCCAGTCTTGGTGGAGCCAAAATAAAACCCAGGTGGTCTCTGGCTCCAGGGCTGATGCTCTTAACCCATCTCCTCTCTGCACTGCAGTCCAGGGAGATGGAGGCGCCGCCACGTTACGACAAAGTATTGTGTAACATGCGTGTTGTGCAAGAAGCAGAGGTAGCCCAGAGAAGGGAGTGATTAAGTCCACCAGAACCATGTGTGTGTTAGGAAAACTTCACAGGGGAAGTAACAGCTGAGTAGGGTGTTATCAAATAAATAGGAGTTTGCCATGTCAACAAGGTAGGTGAGAACACACCTGACAGAATCATATGTGCAAAACTCAAGGAAGCTGACATTGCATTGACTTTAGTAGTTAAAAGCAAAATTCAAGGGAAGGGTTAGGGCATAATCAAAGTGTTTTACTAAGGCTGCTGCATCGGGAGAGCTGGAATCAGGGTGGCTGGGTATGGGATTCAGGCATATTACAGCTAGAGGTGATGAGGCTGACAGGCCCCCACTGCCTGGAGAGATGAAAAGCAAGGGATGGATGTGAGTGATGGCCCAAAGGCCTGGCACATGGTAGGTACTCCATAACCTTTTTTTTTTTTTTTTTTTTTTGTACAAGACAGATGAATCAGGGGTGGAGCATCTGTAAGGGAGAAGTTGCCAGGTTTTGAACAGGAGCCTGTAGGGGACTCCTAGTGTGATTAACAGAACTAAGACAGGTGGAGGAAGTAGTGCAGGGTGCGATACATTCTGTTAGGCACGTGTGAGCTGGAGATGCTGGAGGGACACCCAGTGTGATGTGGGCAGTCTTGCTCAGAGAGGCGGTATCTGGAGCCAGATTGGGGAATGAGCTCACTGAGGCAAGGAGGATTCCTGCCTGTTAGCCTTCCTGACCTGCCCATCTCCTTTAGAGTGCAATACAGAGTGCTGGTTTTGATATTCTAACCCACTGATGGTCACGGAATGGCTGGAGTGTGTGTAGGGTACAAATACCTAAGTAAAGACAGAGCAACCTAATCTCTGTATCTGACAGGGGTGCCAAGTCCCGCCTGTCAATTGTTTTTTCAATGTGCACCCAGATGGCAAAAGTGTCCAGTCATTGCACCGGAGAAATCAGGTCCGAATTTGAAGGGCCCCATGTCTGTGGGTGGGAAAAGATGCAGTTGAATAACTATCTCTTAATCTTCAGTACATTTGTTTCTGACATCACAGAGAAGTGTGTGTTGGTACCAGGTTTCAATTTCATGGTTGTACACTCTGAAATATTCTAGCTTGCATGTCCGCAGTGTGATATGAAGGGCTTCAGGTATCCACTTACATTTCTACTCCTACTGAAAGCTGTTGGAATGGAGTCCCAAATGCCCCAGCCAAAGGCACTAGAGCCTGACTCGCCTTATGCTTGAATTTCCTCAGACATTAACAATGAGCCTTTGGGCTGCGATCAAGAGGTGGGATAATGAGGACCGACTGATGTCAGGCGTATGGAAGGCAGTGACAGGAAAGGACGGGTATGGTCCGAGAGATGGGGGATGAGCATGAGAAAGCAGGGGATGGTCTTGTGACCTGCAGTGGTGATCCCAAAAGCTGTCCTAAGATCATTTCATTGAGAGTTGATATCGTACTCATGTATACGTCCTGCACCAGGGCAAATGGCCAAGGCATGTAGCATGATGCTGATGTCATTCGTAGCCCCCAAAGCACCCTGCTGTGTGAGGACATAAAGTTTAGTGGACATTTATTTTTATACAGGACTGGTGAATTTGAGGGATGTTTCCCTGTGCGTGGCATGAATGTAACCAGTAAGACATTGCTATCTCCAGACAGACTCCTCCTAGAACTCCTATCAGAGGAGAGGAATCAGGCAAATTTCATAAAAGAGGGTAGCAAGTGGGCTCATACCATTCTGGGGGGGACAAGGTTAAAATGAGGGAGAAAAGTCTATTTCTTTGCCTCTGAGCCTGGGCCAAGAAGCAGATGGCAGATCTGACAGCAGGGCATTTAGCAGAGCTGTCACTCTGGAATAAGCCATCTTGCCAAGTTGACAGCAGCTGTGTTTGGGAGTGTGGGAGTTGATTGGACAGGAATTCCAGGCCCTTGGAGGATGTGTGGTCTCCCCATACAGGTAGATAGGGGAATCTATGTCATCATTAGGACCAAGGAATCATGGTCAACTGATTGATCAAGAAAATTGAGGCATAAAAGATGGTCATGGATAATTTTTTAAAGGTAGGAAGGAGGGGTTGATGTAGAAAATTCTCTATTTTCTGTTGCTGTTTTTGCTCTGAAGCTCATATCTGCTTTTCATGTTTGAAACCACTTTAAATAGCAGAAAGAATCAGAACTTTTGACTGTTTTCACTACCAACTGTAGGCACATTGATTCTAAAATTACTTACTGTTATTAAGCCCGGACGGGCACTGATCTCGTGGCTGGAGACGAAATGATGAAATACACCTAGACCCTGCCTTCATGGAGGTTATAGTTAGCAGGAGAGATGTATAATGAATTGGGCAACTGAGAGAAAAGGTGAGGTGTTAGAGCTAGATCAAGAGTACCAAAGAAACACAAAGAGAGGGCAGTTCACCAGTGCTGGAAGTCAGGCTTACGTTGAAACTGATGGGTATAGAGGATAGGGGGTTGCCAGGGGACGGTGCATGAGGCTGCCTGTTCTTGGGGAAGATGATAGCATGTGCAGATCCCAGACACAAAGGAGAAGGTGTGGCTAGGGTATACGTGGAGGTTGAATGTTTGGGGGGTGGGTGGGGAATAAATGCAGAAGAATTGAGCTGTGCAGCTTGAGAGAGAAGGGAGAGCTACCCGAATGGCTTATGTTTGCTGAATTAAGGAATTTGGACTATATTCTGAGGGCATTAGTGATCCATAATGATTTTAAAGCATGGCCTCGTGTTTGTAATTAACAAAATATGTCTGTTTTATGGGGAAGAACTGAATAAGATTGAGACCAGAACAAGAGCGACACAGTAGGAGGTTCTGGGGTACTAAAGAGGAGGGAATGAAGATAGTTGCAGGTGGTGGGGAATAGACAAAAGTAGGTTGACTTGCGAAACTTAAGGAGGGAGCATTGTCGTGACTTGGATACAGATTAGATGCCGGGTTGAGTAAGAAGGAGAGGTTAAAAGGATCCCAGGTAGGGTGTGGGTGCTAGGGTAGATAATGGTGCCGTTCATGAAAGGAGATATTACAGTTGAACAGATTCAAGTTAGGTGTGGTTTGTTGCAGATCATTTTCTAACAGGAAGCAGACTCTGAAATGGAGATTTGCTTGTCCTTTATTAGGAAGGATCTGTGAGGATCAGTTCTAGGGTAGAGAGAGATCCTGAAGAAAGTGGGATTGGGCAGATAAGGAGGTTGAATTGCAATACAGTTAAACACTTCCGTCATTCCTCTAGGGAGTTCTGGAGCTGGAATGACCTTTCAGAGGGATCCCTAGTTGGGGCAAGGGGCCAGGACTTTGCCCTGCCTTTACCAACCACTCATTGTATGTGGGCTGGCCTAGGAAGAGCATTTGACCTTGGATGAGGTGGCTCTCTTCAAACAAGAGCAAGTCCTAGATCACTGTTCAGCTGAGCTGGTGGTCGTCAGTTTCCCCAGCAGCTGCAGGAATGAGTCCTTTGGCCATCGAGGAGGATCTGGGTAGCATACCGCTGCATCCACTATGGGATCATGATGTTAAGTATACCAAATCTCTGGGCTTTCCTCTTCCTGTGGCTAACAACAGGCTGTTGGGCAAGTTGACTGCTGAAATCTGTATATACTTGAACGTTCCATGAGAGTTGGAAGATTGTAGAACTAGGAAATTACCAAATTAATCTGTTTTTAACCAGTGCGGAAACAGAGACTCTAAGAGCTAAGGTAGTTTTTATGAGACACATAGTGAGTGATAGAGATGCCTTAGAGTGCATGTCTTCACTTCTACTTCTCCTGAAGACTAGGGTAGAAGGATCCTCATCTGTGCAGGAGAGGGAGTAATCAGACCTTTGCTTCCTTGTTCCTTTTGATGTGGCTGGAGACCCATTAGGGTCAGATCACATTAACATACTCTGCACTTGTTTAAAAGTGAATCAGCAAGTTGAGTTGAGGACTGAGTCCCAGTGGAATCTAAATTGAATGGCGGGAGTTCCATTTATGCTTTTACCTTTCCTACAAGGCCTACCTCTACTTCATGCCTTCCCTATTAGGCTGTTAAGCTCACCTTTCCAAAAAACAGTCTCTCTAGTGCATTGGTAAGTGTTTTACTGGTTTGGCTTGTATTTCTCAATGGTTTTTGAGCTTACTAGGAACATAGAGTATAAGGGCATGCATTTCCCACAATGACAAGAGAGAAAAAAAATGGTGTCCTTCTGCATTGTGGCTGAGGTTCTGATGAATGAACATAGAAGTCCCCTTTTACCTACTTGTTCATTTTATGGCTGGAGTGTAAGAATCAAAGGTACCACTATTGTACCCCATGGAGATGACCAGTGCTGCTTCCTTGTTTTAACTTCTGACCACATCAGTTCATTTTCTGGTTCCTTTAGCAGCTGCGACATTGAAATAGCTGTGTATCCATAGTGTGACAGACTCATGGCAAACGTAGTGAAGATGACCATTTGACGGGAGCCCAGGAGTTGTCCTTACACTCTCCCCATGTCTTACTCCAGAGAAAGATATTCCTATTTTTTTTTTTTTTTTAAGTAGGCTTCACACCCAATATGGGGCTTGAACTGATGACCCTGAGATCAAGAGTTGTATGCTCCACCAACTGAGCCAGCCAGGCTCCCTGCAAAGAGATTCCTTTTGCTTTGAATTCACTGAAGCCAGATGGCAGCTCTGAGGTCAGTTAGTTGCATAGCATGACTGACCCGTTTTTCTGTTTTTGTTACAGCAAAATGTATCTATGGAGGAAAAGTCCTTGCAGAAGGCCAGCGGATTTTAACTAAGAGCTGCCGGGAATGCAGAGTAAGTTTCCATCTGATGATCCTCATCCCTTGGGGAGAATTACCAGATAGATAGATGGGCTTTGGTAGGGATCTGGAGTGGAGCAGGTTGGCCTGAATGGGTCTCTGAGGGGAAGGACCCTGGTGGGCTGCTGGCCAGGATGGGGAGGTCCCACCCACGGTCATTGCTCTGCTAGCTTGTGCTAAGCTGTGGATCAGGTAGCCTTGGGGAAAGCTATTGAAGGATGTGAGAAGGTGAAGGGAGCCAGCAGTTACTAGGAGTCAGGGAGCTTGGCAGGGGGCCCTGGGAAAGGATTCTGAGTTGATTTTGGGGAAATCTGTTTGTGATACCAGCTCTGGATGGTGCTCTCTCTATTCCAAAGTGTCTTAAAGATGGTGAGAAAATGCCTGTCTCCTGCCTGCCCCCACCCATCTTTTTCTTGGAATAAGACGTGTAGAAGCAGAGATCTTCAGTAATCATTCAGCTAACATACCTTGATCAACTGCTACATACTAGCATGGTACTAGATACTGGGTATGTAAAGGTGAACACAGCAAAGGCCCTGTTTTTATAGAACTTGCAGTCTAGTGGGGGAGACAGATAACTAAACAATGTACAATATATTGCCGAATCCCATAAAAAATAGAAAGCATGCTGGAGAGAGAGCTTTTGGGTGGGTCTGGGTGGTCTGGGAAGGCCTTTGTGCAGAGGTACCATTTGAACAAAGTGTGGGAGCTGGCCGTGCAGTTACTTGGGTGAGATGCCATCCTCGGCGTGGAAGAGTGAGAGACAGGGAAGGAGGGGCACGCGTACCAGGTGGTGCGTCACAGGGCAGCCACAGTCCTACAAGGAAGCACTGCTGGTTTTGTGGGGCATCTCCGGAGAGGCTGACCGGAACCACTGGGCCTCAGAATAGCCCATCTTTGTAAGTGCTTGTAACTACACCATTTCATTTGCTTTTCATCACATCCCTGAGGAAAAGAAAGGAATCTATTTTAAAGATGGAGAATGAGGCATTTAGAGACCTGGAAAAGATCTGGAGGAGCTTGAATCCAGTTCTTTACTGGGGCCTTGGCGGGGGTTTTGGGTGGAGGAAAGGCTCTTACCCGTTTCCTCTCTCTGGCCAGAATTTACCTCCAGGGGTTAACTCCCTCTGACTTTCCTGTCGAATTTCCTATCCCCTCTTTCTTGACTGCCACTGGGAATGGCAGAGATTCTATTGCTCCAGACACTCTGGTGGGGATGGAGGTGTGGTGGTCTTTGTGCATCAGCGGATGTTGTGCGTACGCAGAGGCAGGGATGGTGTGGCAGCGACGGCTCTGTGATCTCTCAGTCAACAAGGCAGGCTACCAGACCTGGGCACGGGGAAAGCTGGTAGGGTGGTCTCCAACCTGGGGCAGGCACATTACCACCTACAATGTTGGGTGGATTAAATGAGATAAAGTGTGTGAAGAACAAGAAACAGACTCTTGTTTCAAATATTTTCACCACGTGTTTTTAGAAATTAACATACTGTTTTTTTTAAACTAAGATGAATAAACCCTTCTAGTAGTTCTGCTCAATTGTGTTCCAGCATTTCTTTAGCATTAATTTTTTGACTTGATGTGAGTTTTTATGTTATTAGAAATTCAGGTTTGAAGCACAGTGATTAGTAAAGAACTTGAAAGTGTTTATATTTGACCAATGACACAGAGACTGTCACTCTAAATGAGAAAGAATGGAAGAATTGTATTTTTCCACCAACACAGAGTTCTAGGGGTCATAAAATAACATACTATAATCAGGAGAATTTAAAAATGTTAATTATCAGGTACTTTTTACCAGAAATAGTTTTGAAAATAAAGGTTTTGTGCCTAATTATGTGGCTGGACTAAATGGATGTAGAGGCCCTTATGCTACTGTAATCATAGTTCATATTATTTTCAAAATCATGCCAAGGTGTTTGTCTCTATTGAAACACTGGGAATTAGGATCTTACTCATTAAATATGTTAAAGGTTGATTAGAACTGTCTGATTTAATCAGCAGTCAAGGCAAGCCCTTTTCATAAAAAACTTTTGTGAGTGAGGATTTTTTAAAAAAAGTCTTCATAGCATTTTGAATATCTTTTAACAAAAGCAAATACATACTCCAAATGCCAAAATTTTGAATATAGAGGAAAAAGTACAAGGAAGAAAAAGGAAATCGCTCCAGAATCTCACCATCTAGAGAGAATCTTGAACAGTGTTATTTTTGACAGGTAGAATGAAATGTATCTTACTGTCTTGGTTTGGGTTCCCCTAAAAGCAGACCCTGCACTAAGGATTTCAGTATGGATGATCGATTAAAGTAGTGCTCTTGGGAGCAGCCAGTAAGGGTGTGGAGGATGCAGGATGGGGAAAGGCAAGGAACCGAGCAAGAGTGGGATTTTGGGTGAAAGGCCTCACATACCCTGGTTGCTGGAAGGGGTGGTGGAGTGTAAATTACACCCCAGCCATGGGCTCCCCTTGAGGTAAAGAGCCTCCCGTGCCTGTCAGTCCCTGGCTTTGGGCTCTGGCAGTGGGGATATAGAACTTGTGGGTAACTCTCTGTGCTCTCTGCATGGCAGAGTGGCTCCAGTGTCCAAGGAGTGCCATCTGAGGGTGGCAAGGATGAGCCATTAACAGCAAAGCATTTGGAACCTGGGGGATGGGCACACAGAACTCCTAAAAGGGATCCAACCATGTCCATCACTCTTATTTATGCAAGGAGGCAGTAGATAATAAATACATTGATGTTGACAGATAGAAGTAGAGGCATTAATGGTGAGTAAGCATTTTGTTTTCCTGTACATTAAAGCTTATGCTACAGCTGGTGAGGTTATTAATGTCTCTTGGTTTGTAATGATTGGTTTGAGTCCCTGTTGCAGGAACTGAGGTACAACTGGTAGGCACAGTGGCTTAGGACCAGTGCCAACTCTTGAGGCTGGGTGCCCCCCAGTGTGGCCTGAATTGAGGAGTGAGAAGGGGACGTAGCTGTGAAGGAGACTGAGCGTGTAGAGCAGGCTGTGTTCTCTGATCTTAGGGCCAGTTTTTAGGTAGGAGAAAAGCAAGAGGTCTGGATAACTTGGAGCAGATCAAGAAACCAAGAGCAAGGAAGATGAAAAGACACTTCAAGGAATGTCAGGGGCAGGACTGTCAGGATGAACATTGTGAGCAACGAGAGGAAGCCATGGTACAAATTATCCAAATAATGAGTAGTTAGAAATCAAGTTGGTATGTTCATAATTGTTGATGTTCTTAATTAGGAATGGATGTGCCTGATGAAGTGGGAGTTCCCGTCCCATGGTCCACAGGAAAGATAGTGTCTCGGAAATGGGAAACTCTATCTCCCCCCATCCCTCCTGGCTGTCCAGCTCCATCCTATTTCCCCCATCTATGTTGAGAAGTACCTTTTTGCCTTAAATGAGACTCCTTTTCTCAAGCTTGATTCTTAGTTGACGTAAACAGCTTCTTAGGAATGGGAGGGAAAAACTTTATATTTTAGATAAAATACTCTCAAACTTTTTTTATAGTAATTAATGGACTAATTTTTAGAATTCAGAGTAACACTAAATACAGATGCTAGTGATGTCACCAAAGAAGACCTTTGGTGGATGAGGTCATAAAGACTCACCAGGTGAATGTTTAAAATTTTATTGTAAGCTAGTTTATTTACATACAGGGAAACATCTCGTGCTCATCTAACCCTCATTCCGATCATTCGTACTTGGATACCTTGGCTCTTGCCTGTTTTGTCTGCCAGGAGAGTCTCTTCTTCCTTTTTCCATTATTCAAATGTGGCATCATCTTTATCATTTCTCCCTTCCTGGACAGCATGATTCTCTTATGACACATTATCATATCTTAACTGTAGAACATTTTTTAGCACTTACCATACTGTTTTAGGGTTTTTAGTTGAGATTGTTTTTTCTTCCTGCCCTCCAACTAGGAACTCCCCAAGCACGGGGAAGATGTGTTATGTAGCTTTTGGTTCACGGTGCATGTGATCCAGGAGTGCTAAAGCTGGCTCACAAAAGCTCACGAGTGCTCATTGTATAACTTCCCGACTCTGTGGTCAGTGACACCATGTCGGTATTTCAAAATCGGTCATCGTCAGGGCATTCGTACCACAGAAATCCATAAGCCCTACAAATTAGGGCTCCCCATCCAACAGCCTATTGTTACCTTTGCAGCATACCACTGTTAGTGACCTTCTGCTGCAGAGAAGTTTCTCAAAAATTATTGGTTGAAGTTGAGGCTGTTGAGACACAGAAAAGGATGCTTTCTCTGCCAGGAGTCTCATCAGTTTGATTTGCGACTTTGTCATTATTGTGGAATTCCTGGGAGTACTGTTAATTATTGAAGCTTATTATCACTGCAGGCTGTTAACAATGAGTGTTATATATTTGCATCATCGACTAAAAAATATGAACATTTTTTTTGTTTCCCGATGATTTGGCTTCCAGGGTGGAGTTTTAGTAAAGATTACAGAGGCGTGCCCTCCTTTGAACTGCTCAGAAAAGGACCACATTCTCCCAGAGAATCAGTGCTGCAGTGTCTGTAGAGGTAAGGGGGGCTTGGTGGTGGGGCTGTAGTTGGGATGAGGGTGGGGCGCATGAGGGTTTAATGAATAGTGTGAAGGTAGTAACAGGGGCTCAAAACTCTGCTACCTTGAAACTTGTGTGTCCTAGTTACCTTTCTCAGCCGTAGTCATGTCAGTTGTAAACTGAGGGTAATGATAGTCTACTTCTCAGGCCCACTGGGAGGGTTAAATGGGATAATGCCTAAGTACCTAGTATCATGTCTAGCATGTGATAAATGTTCAGTAAGTGACAGTTCCTATAAGAAGAATGATAGTGTCTGCAATAATGATTATTATAACTGTCATCATTATTAGATTTTTCTCATGAGTGGCATCGGTAGGCATACTGTTTAGCCCTTTCTGTGGACCAATTCCTGTATCTGACAGGCAGAGACCTATAGTGAATCTTTATTCAGAGGATTACATGCAACTTTTTTACTTCACGCAAGCGGGGGGAAAATGCTTTAGCTAAGTAACACCTAACTGCTAATTCGTTCTCTGGCAGAAATAGTTTTGCTTTCTTTTCCTGGACTTGTCTTCTTTCCCAGATTTTGTTGTCTTTAAACCCTGGATCAGATAACTTTTCCTCTCTGAAAGGACTCACCCTGGTAGAATTACGTGGATTGGGAGAACCTAAAATTGATTAAAAATCTTACAGAACCAATCCAGTCAAACTCCTCTTTATGATGTAAAAGCTACACCCACCACACATCCTTCTCCACATTCTCAAATACTTAATGGAGTTGGATCCTTTCCAGCTCCCCCTTAAAGCTTCTAGAGCAGAGTGGTTTAGTTTAGGTTACTCCATATTTCACTTTATTCTATCTTTTCTCTAGCGCAAGGGTTGGCAGATATTTTCTGTAAAGGACCACAGAGTAAATACTTTTGGTTTTGTGGGCCAGAAGGTTTCTGTTGCAACAACTCAACTCAGCTGTTTCGCAAAAGTAACCGAGACAATAGGTAAATGAATGAGTGTGGTTGTTAGAATACAATTTCATTTATAAGAACAGGTAGTAGCCCATAATTTGTTGACCCCCTCCTCTAGCATCTTCTGACACATAGAAATGTTCTATGTTTTATCATGGAGTGTTCAGCTTATGTGGAGGTTGCTTGGTCATGAGAAGGCTACATTTGGGTAAAAGTTCCTAGGACAACTTAGTATGTTGATAACTAAGAATGACTGATCATGCCATCAGAATATCTTCCCTGATTTGTCTGTGTTTTAGCTACAAGCATAGTAGCAGTTGAGATGCTGTAGAAACACTTAAAGATTGGCTGGAATTTTCAGAGGGATACATTTATTAGTAACTGATAGGGTTACTATCAGTTAGATAGGTCTTATAATTTAATGCAAAATCCATCACTTGCTATTTGTGGAGGTGCCAAGTGAGACTCAGTTTATGTAAATCCTTCCTGATTTATGGTTTCATTAGAGCAGAATCATTGATTATCCCACAGAAACTCAAGAGGAATTTCATTGCTCTGACCCAGCTTACAATAGACCTGGTGTCACTGCTTCTGCTAATACTTCTCCAGAATGCGTGCGCTTCTTTACCACTGAAGACACTAAGAGATGGGATCTCTCATTGAAAAACAGTCATTCAGGGCTCCATTGCTGCAATCCCGTAGCTTTTAGCACACCTTGACACAGCTTTGAGGGAAAAGCGGGAGGCCAGGAGTAAAACTTCCTAGATTAGATATTGGCTAGGACCAATTTGTGAAATTGAGGATTTTCTTTCTCCTGCTTCCTCTTTTGGAAGGAAACTACCAGCTTTGTTGGGAGGGGGCTGTTCATATTTCTTTTGGAGGTGTCTGTGTCCGAAAGGGTTATTTATTCTCTTTGACAACTTTACATTTTGACAGGAACAAGACAATACCTTCAGAAAAGATATGGTGAGGAGGTCCTTCTCCTGGGGAATGGGTTGAATTAAACCATTCGCGTATATGGATTCTCTGATTTACTCCCAACTCAGAGTTCAGGCACTGGAATGGAGAAAGCATTATTGTAGACAAAGGCCCCTTTCAGCACCATTTCCTGTTGTTAATCCCTTCTGTTGACCCAAAGCAGAGTGGACCCTAGAACATCTACCCCCCCTTGTCCACATCCTGAGGCTTGCTCTGCATAGCAGACAATCAGAAAAGGAAAGGGGCGTTTTTTTTGTTTTTTTGTTTTTTTTCCTGTGTGGGTCTGTTAGTCTCTTTATTCTGAAGATTGTCAAAAAGGCAACTCAGGTGAGCTCCAAGGTGTATTGTTTCAAACTATGCTCCCCTTGGATTTTATTCCAGATCTCTTAATTCCAACTATTTCCCAAGAGGATCTTCAGAAGTAGCATAATAGTCTTTCGTAATATTATGGGAAATGTTTTTCCCCTTGGACTTCTAGTTGTCTTTTACCTTTTCCTCTGTGTTCATGTTTTCTGCGTCTTACAAGAAGAGGAGGGGTTCATTCTGTTCTGACAAGACTCAGCCCACTGGGCCTTTTCGAAGGCCTGTTATTCAGTTCTCCCCCCTCTCCCCTCCCCACACTCCTCCTTCCCCTCTCTAAAACAGAAAGTAATGAAAAGGCGACACTCCATTTTTATGTAAAGTAATTTTTAGCCTGCATATGGGGAGGCTGTACCATTTGCTTTGTGGATTGAGATTGTGTACTGACTGGCAGGCAGTAAGTGAGCAGAGAGGCAGGCTCCTGATGACCTGAGACGTGTATTTCAGGGATGAGCACAGTGGTATGATTTCAGCTGTGTGTCTTCTTCCGCCCTGCTGTTGTTGATTACAGAACCTGAAGTGGCTATAGCCTTTCTCAATATCTGCATGAAGGGCCTCTAATTAGCATATTTGTCATTTCTCTCTGTCTTTCTGTGAATGTCAGGTCTTTAGTCTGAGGGAAATCACCCCGTGAGAGCGTATCGTTCCTTAGAAGTCTGAATCACAACCTTCTTCGGGCCTGCTTAGGGAATGGAAGTTTTCTGGGGTTTTTTTTTCAATGGGACTCCGTTGAGCCGCCCTGAGGAGGTTTAGACTGGGAATTTAAGAAAACACAGAAAGTGCTTTTTGCTTTATGCCCCAATTGGCTGGCTATATAATATGCATAAAGTGCTCTTTTAAAAAAAAAAAAAAGTTTTAATGATTATAGTTTATGAATTCTTTAAATGTAGGAGATGAGGTAGTTGGAGATACATTCTGACCACACGAAATAATGCTGTCACTGTCATGTCTGTGACGTTGAAGGAAATAATTTTTAGTACTAGCTATGTTGTTGGCTCTGTGTATTTCATATATGAAATAATGTTGAACCCAGTTTTTGAGTTATAACTTGTCAAAGTATAACTCGTTGCCTTGATTCTGAAACTAATTTTTATTGAGTCATGCCCATTTTCTTACATGGTTATACAATTTGCCACTGCCTGCCCCTCCCCCCGTGACTAATCAAGGAGAGAGATTAAGATTTTTGCTGAGTTTTTCTCTTTGTGGGAATTAAACCTAAAACCATAGAGTTGGGAATAACAGACTCTGACACATTTATGGCGTTCACTGTATCAACAGAACTGATATCTAGACGAGGGGCTTGGGCACCTTGCCTCTTAGAATCTTGGGTCATGCCACATGCTGTCACTAATTCCTCTGCCTTTTAAAGAAAAATGAAGGTAATCAGCTGAGCCCGTGATTACATCCACAGGGCAATTGGTGCAGCCAGAATGTCCCTAAGGAAGGGACTACAGGACAGTTAGGGAAGACACAAGCCAAAAGAACCAAAGTGATGGACACTGGCAGGAGGAGGCCATCCTGCAGTTGCGGGGATCCAAGGTATCCATCACCACCAGTAACAGCCAGAACAGTCCTAATCACCGCTGCAGTTTCTCTCTGCTGCCTCAGGACTGTTTGTGCCAACAGTATGCAATTCGTTTACCTTCATCGTTATGTTAAGGCAATGGCTGTAGCGGGAGCCTGACCGCTTAAAGTGTGTGGCCATGAGGTGGAAAAGGGGGAGTGGGCACCAGAGTGACCTCTCTGCTTCTGCTTGGGAAGAAGTAATAAAAGTGTGAATGTAGCCCCAGAAGAACAAGACGGCTCATGAATCATCAGTGGGCTCCGTTAAAGGGGGGCAAAAGGCCAACAATCTTGACCGCAGATCCTCCAAATTGCTCCAGGAAAACACACCAGTCATTTGGCCCATTCCAGAATTCTTGACACACTCCTCAAGGTTTTATTCCCCTCATAATTGGCTCTAAGTGTAGCTTCAACGTCGCCAATGACCTTGGAGGGTTTTCACTACATGTTTAAGACTTTCGGTGTTGGGGGAAAAAAGTTCTTGCCAACATCTGTTCCCAGTGTGTTTATCTGTAATTTTAATTCGTGCTCACTTGCCTTGTCATCTGGCCTGGACTGAAATGAGTTGAGATTATTTGTTCTATTTAAGATTTTATGCCCTTACATTAAATCCTCCCAAGACTCTTGGCATCGGGCGCCTGGGTGGCTCGGTGGAGTGACTGCCTTCGGCTCAGGTCATGATCCTGGAGTCCCGGGATCGAGTCCCATGTCGGGCTCCCTGCTCGGCGGGGAGTCTGCCTCTCCCTCTGACCCTCTTCCCTCTCATGCTCTCTATCTCTCATTCTCTCTCTCTCAAATAAATAAGTAAAATCTTTAAAAAAAAAAAAAAACTCTTGGCATCATGATTTTTTTTTTGCCTTAGTCTTCCTCATCATTCTAGTCTCCATCAGAATTTGTAATTGAAATGGTTTTAGAGGATTTTCAGGGTATTTGAGATTAAAAGAGGCCTGGGAAAGAGGCACCTAATGAGTATATTTTCTAGTGTCTAAATAGAGGAACTGGTAGTTAGCAGCTGTGCAGGTCCTGTGCATACTGAGAGATGGAATCTGATCAACCTCCTGGCAGCCATGGGCTGACGTTGACTAGAAAGACAGGGCTCTATGCTCCACTGTTAAGACTGGGAGCAGAGGGCATTTGAAGATGAGTACAGTCTCCA